CAATTTTTTTATTGTTAAATCAATAAAATTTTTTTTTAATATTTACTCTGTATATCTATAAATATACTTTTTGTCATTGCAGAGAAAAAATTTTTGGTGACTAACCAAATATTTTTTTGCTTATCAATATTTTGATGAATAGATGATAGAAAGAAAATGTTTGGGGTCGAGTGAGTAAAATTTTCAACCAATAAAATCTCTTGGTGATTTACGGTTTGTTGAGGATATCCATTTTTTTTTTTTTTTGGAAATAAAAGTAAAGATTATTGCTTTGACTATACATCTTGTACTGAAAAAGGTAAAGGCCATAACATCGCATGACATTTCCTGATTTAAATTCACCTTTGAGAACTGATGGACCTTTTCAAAATAGAACTGATGATGATTATCACAAGGGGTTAGCTCTTTAGTTAGACATCCAATTAATAATTAATGAAACAGTTGTGTTGGATTACATGCACAATGTTTGTTTACGAGTAGTCAAAAGGTTAATTCAATTATAAGTAAAAGGTAATAAAAAGGGGAGATTGGAAAAAAAAAATAGGAAAAATTAATAATGAATTAAAAAATATTAAATCTTATATAACTGCTGAGTTCTGTAGATTTCCAAAACTACTTGATATTATAAGAATACTATAAATTATCAGAACATAGGACATTTTTATTGTATTCAAATGAAATAGTTTTAAAAAATAATTTTACTATTATTTTTTACTGTTAGTGTTATTCAATTGAAATTTTAATATTGAAAATTATTTATATGACATTAAGAAATATATTAAATACCCATTATAAGAAGTATATAATATAATTTAGAAAAAACAAATATTTAATACGCTCCCATCCCAATCATTCTCTGTTTGTCCTATTCTATGCAATAAAGTTATGCAAATAAAATTCCTTCTAAATTTATTAATGCCTCTGATAGTATTTTAAAAAAAATTATTTTACCTTTTCCAATATCTTATTAGATACTTAATAAAGAAAAAATAAATACGTTACGTTTGACAATAATTCTATTGTATCTGATCAGTGATCACTATATAATTAAACCTATTAATGAACCTGTTAAATTACTTGTAAAAAAATATTTGAATTGTACTGAATTAAGTAATAAACCTTCATCTACTACAGTAGGTGTATTTGTCGTTAACACTACTGAAATATCAGTTTTATTTAGCATTAGTTTATCATGTATTTATTATTTACTAGAGAAATACAAGGAAAGGTGCCGTGGTGCATGTTGTTTGCTGACTATATAGTGCTAATAGGAGAAAATTAATCAAAGGCTAGAGGTGTGGAGATCAGCTCTTGAAGAAAAGGGTTTAAAAATAAGTAGGAGTAAGACAGAGTATATAGAGTACGAGTTTGACAAAGGAGAACACGAGGTAGGTGAAATGAGGTCAGTGACAATAGGCAAGGACGTGATTGGAGAGTTGGAGGTTTTAAATATTTAGGGTTTATTGTGCAAAATAGTGGTGGTATTGACGAGGATGTAAGACACAGATTTAAGTGCGGGTGGTTGAAGTGGAGAAAAGCGTCTGGTGTCTTATGCGATAAAAAAAATTCCAATGAGGCTGAAAGGTAATTTCTACAAGACTGTAATAGCTATGATGTATGGTTCAGAGTGTTGGGTGGCTGATAAGAAAGTAAAGCAGAGAATGACTGTAGCAGAGATGAGAATGCTTAGATGGATGAGTGGAGTGACTAGAAAAGATAGAATAAGGAACGATAATATAAGAGGGAGTATAGGTGTAGCGTCATCGTGGATAAGATGAGAGAAAATAGACTAGATGGTTTGGTCATGTTATAAGGAGAGAAGAATCGGAAGCTTTAAGAACAGTTAGAGAATTGAATGTTGAAGGAAGAAGAGGTAGAGGAAGACCAAAAAAGAGATGGAGGGATGCTATTGAATGCGATTTGAGGACAGTTGATGTGAGCGTAGATGATGTGGGAGATCGTGTCAAGTGGAAGTTTAGGATAAGGATGGCCGACTCCAAGTAGTTGGGATTAAGGCGAGGAAATAGAGGAAGAGTTTATCATTTATTAAATACAAATGTTTTTTTGTTAAGATATCAAATGGACTAGCAGTTGTGTCAAATTTATGCCATAAAGTTTGATTTATTTTTTAATTTTAAAACTATAATATATACAATTATACGTAAATTACTTAATAATAATAATAATAACTTATCAAATACAATTTTTTCATGCTATAGAATATTTGTATTTTATATTAAAAGTACTTTTTATGTTTTGTAATATTTTATAAACTAATTCTATACTAATATTTACTATTAGGACGTTTGTTCTTTGAATAAATTTTATAACTTACTATAATTGGTGTTAAATTTATTTATATATTTTTCATCATTAAATATTTTACGTGCATTGTTTATTTAATTTATTATGAATTTGTGTGAATAAAAATATAAATGACATAGATTTTTTTATCATTGTTAAAAAACTGCAAATGTATGTACAATAGTTTTAAATATAGAATGTTACAAATGAAACAGCAATAAATTTTTTAATTGAAATACCTGCAATGGTTTTACGGAGCTGTAGCTTAGATGTTACTAGATGTTAAAAAGCATTTTCATAAAAGACATTGCGGAGAATACTGTCCCCGGGATGTGTTTTCATACAATTATGCAACGCAATTCGGGATGTTTCGTATTTTATCAAAACAACCCCATTGCTGTTTCTGGGACAAATTTTTACACTGTGTACCCAAAGAAAAACCTCAATTTTGATTGAGAAATTTTATCAAGGGTTTATGATAATGTTTTATTAATACGAACAAAATAACTATTCTTATAAATAATTATTGTTCAAGACAAGAAAACAAATATCATATTGATAAATATATCATAGGTTCTATAGTAATGATATATTTATCAAATTGAACAATGAATTTATTATATAGATCGAGGTTTTTCTCTGGGTGTGAGACAGTTTACAATGACCAAGTTGACACATATATAATAAATAGTATACAACATTGTAAATGTTATGACAAATAAATTGATTATTTGTTTGTATAAAAGTAATATAAAACGCAGATTATAATTTTTTCATTGATAAATGTAAAATACGTAATGTAAAGCATTGGGTATATTACGACATAATTTACTATATAATAGTAAATCAATTAGTCAATTGATAAAATGAAACGGTAAAAATTATTTTGAATTGTGTGAAAATATTAACATCAAATTTAATTAAATCGCATAATCGTTTAATTATATTTCTTAAATAACCTAGTCCTTCAATAAAGTAAGTCTAACGCGGAGCTATCCCAGCACTTACACCCAAAGAAAAACCTCAATCAAAATTGAAAGAGAAATTTTATCAAGGGTTTATGATAATGTTTTATTAATACGAACAAAATAACTATTCTTATAAATAATTATTGTTCAAGACAAGAAAAAAAAATATCATATTGATAAATATATCATTGATTCAATAGTAATGATATATTTATCAAATTGAACAATGAATTTATTATATAGATCGAGGTTTTTCTCTGGGTGTAATTTTCACGATATCCATATAGTAGTGTTAAAAATTAGCAGTCGCTGCTATTTTCACAATGATTCACAAAGTAGCATTAATAGCCTCTGTTATTGGTTTATAAAATAGTATACATAAATGTATTTTTGAAGAATGTACCATAATTTATTTAAGTTAGAACCATTTTATCAATTCTGTCGTCTGGTAATCCTGAATTTATCTCTGTTTTTCCTCTTCGCTCGGTGTGATAAATCAAGGTTTATACACAGATTATATGATACATGACTACTTTTCATATAGTCTGTGGTTTATAGATTATAATTTATAAACCTTTGTCTAAATAATAATAATATAAGAACAAGATGGAATCATTAATGAATTCACCTTGAACAAGAATGTAAATTTCTAATTAGGTAATAGAAAGTAGTGATTTTTTTAATCACATTAGCATTATCATATTGTGATACAAATTTTCATTGGTAACATCTCTACACCAATTGAAACAAACTATAATAAGAAACAATAATTGTTATAATGTTGATAGGTTAAAACATGAACGTGAAAAAAATGTATGGTTGGCTAGATTAATTTTTCTCCTGTCAAACATCTAATACTGTTTTTACTCAACAATATAGGGTATTAATAAAATAGTCACGCGATTATTCTATCATTAAACACTTATTTAATCGAAAAATAAAAGTAATAATATTTTTCTTTTGGTTACCTACTCTTCTCAATTTATTAATCATGAAGTATTTATTATACTCGTTCCTTTATATCTTATAAAAGAGTCAACTTTATTTTTCAAATAGCAACATATATAAAAAACAAGTTTATTTATTTTTTGAATTAATATTTTAAAATCAGTTAACATTTTTATACCCAGGAGGGAAGACAAGAGATTTATCTTGAGTCATTTAATTAAATTTATTAACAATTTCTGAAAAATTAGATAACATTTTATTTATCATTATAATTATGTCATTTGAAAAAATAAAGTTAAAATATATTAGGGTAGAATATGAAAAATACTTGACAAATGTAAATTGAATAAACAATGTATCTAAAATGAATTATCAGTATTTTTTTATTTTTCGATTAAATTAATGGTTTACGATAAAAAAATGACTGTGTATGTAACTTTTTTGGTAGCGTGTGAGCTAGATACCTAGAAATCTGGGTTTAAAGGAAGCTTTAGCCTTCAATAATCTATAAAAATACCTTATACACAATTCATCTAGGTTTAGTATATGTAAATTTTTCAAATTAGTAGAAAAATGTATTAATTGATGACATGTTGAAAAGGCATTCATATTTTAGTATATTAAATTTAAAATTTTCATAGCGACTTCTAATAAAATTTAATTCTGAAATTAATTCCTGAAAATATGAAAGGTTGACATAAAGGACAAAAATATCTACGATTAAATAGTTACCAGTAATATTACAACACTATTATATTATATCAAAATGTCAGAAATAAGTAATTACATACAGATAAATTACAATAATATAGCAATCACATATATAACTTAAAAACATTTAACATTTTGAATAAACTCAAATAAATAAACAATATAAATAACTAAGATTTTAAACAAATGGAATGCACCTATATTCACTTTGGTTTGATTCAATTTCTTATTTATGGTAATCTAATAAGAGCTTACATTAATATAACAAATTATAAAATATAATTAATACTATAGAATTTTCAACCGAAGTTGCATCAGTCTTGAGGCAAAATAGTCTATTTAATCAGTCAAATTTAGAGTATATAGAAAATATTTTTGTATACATTACTATGATTATATATAATAAAATCAAAGATGATAACACAATTTTCCAGTGGATAATCATAACAAATGATAATTTAAAAACATTTATGAGAATCTCTATAAAAATTTCACATCTTGGATAATTTAACAAGATATATATAGAAGCGGTTTATTAAATACAAAATAAGTTATTTCATATAGATAAAAAATTAATACTTATAGAATTTTAGTATATCTACAATAAATAAATTTACTGGTTTATAAATGAAGAAACAGTTTTCTTAACTTCGTTTATAATATACAAACAATTCATCACTACTATATCTTTATAAATTGGTTGAACTGAAAAAAAGAATTTATTAATTAAATAATATTGTAAAAATTTGTATAAGAATTTTTAATATGCTTTCTTACAAATAAGTGTATTGATGGGAAAAAATGATATTAATGATTTTCCCTGTTTTTCTAAAATTTCAGAAATGTTAGGATCTTTGATATATCCTACTATTTCTTTTAATAATGACATCCAATCACTGGCAGTTTTGTCTACTTTTTTTGAGCAAAATATAAAAGAATGACCCATTTTGTTTGGTTTCATTACTCCAACCTGTTAAATTAAAAAAGCATAAATTAATAAAAAATACTATTTTTTAAATAGAGAAATACATTTAGTAAAAAAAATAATTATAGTATAATTAAAGTAAATATATTTAATCTATAAATACCTTTTCAAAAATATTGATTAATGAATAAAATACACCAACATTAACTTGAGTAAGTAATGGATATCCTATAAGTAATAAACTGTCAGAACTTTCAAGAAGTTCTAAAGTTTCTAATATAGCTGTTAATGAATCAAGTTGTTTTTTATTGTTATTAATACAATCACTGATATTAATGGAAGTTAAGTCACAAACAAATAAGTGACCTTCTATAGTATTTCTTGGTATTTGAAGCCAAAAATGACTAAAATATAAACAAAATACATAATTATAAGATAAGTTAATTAATATAAAACAACTGCTTAATCATTCAGTGACAAACTTTCTACGTTTTATGCTATCTTCTGTGGGGATTGTAAACAATGATCTAGCTCGATTACTATAATCAATTAAGACATCCACACAAAATTTAGAACTACGTATTACAGATACAGGTTTACCCATTTGAATAAATTTATCTGATAAATCAATTTTGGCATCCTAAAAATAAAACATTTTAATTATACTTCTAGTGTAATAATTAAAAGTATAAATTGTAATAACTAATTAAATCAGCCAAGTGTACTTAATTTTTATGTCAAATGTTATTAAGTCATTAAATAAATGTAAGAACATTGTATAAGTAATACTAATACACTTTTTTAGAAAGTAAGATTTAATGGATGAATAATCAAGAGACACATAAAAGATAAATTAATAATTTTTAGAAACATAAAAAATTTAATATCTACCTTGGCAGAAAACCATAACAAAGAACTGTCATATAACCACTTAACTTGTGTGAAATCATTTACTTCATTTTGGAGCAACTTTGCTTCATCCATTGCTTGATACTCAATTCTTCTTTGTTTTTCTGAAAAAGAGTAGTCTAAATCTTTTCGAAGTGATATGACTTTGGGTAGCTCATCCAGTATAGTCTAACGTAAAAGATAATAAACATAAAAAAAAAATAATTTTGATTAAATTTTTCTTACTTGAAGTTTTTTTTGTCCAACTATTTCATGAGATGAATCAATAGGTTTAATTTTATACTTATTAATATACATTTTGGCAACATAGTATTGTAATTCAATCAAAAATGTAGTATCATTTTCTGAACCTTCATCTCCATGTAAAAATCGTTGAATATTATTTTCAATCACTTGTATTTGCAATTCACTAAAATATTTTGAGCAGTTGTACATTGAAGCTAGAAAATCTTTGGGTAATTCTTTCAATGGAAACAAACTATAATCTGATTGAACTGTTTTAATGAAAATAAAATAGTAATTAAATTAATATATTATAAAGTTATACAAACAACATACTTCGATCAACAGAAGAAAAAAATTTATGAATCCATGGCTCCATGATTTCTAATCCTTTATAACCACAACACACAGCATAAATTTCAGAATTGCCTTGTCTGCTAGTTACAGGCTTTTTAATTTTTACTGATTCAAAAGCACAACAAAGTAAATATATACGACACAGTGTGTTACACTCAAACATAGTGAACATTTTTAAAATAAATGTTCCACCTAAAAATTATAATTATTAATTATTAAATTCCAAAGATTCAATTTTGAATTGTACCAGTTTCTAACACCATTAGAGCAATCATTGTTTCTACTAATTGTAAACGCATAACAACATTTTCTTGTTCATCAGGATTATTTTGACAATCCATACTTCCATCACCTGTAACCTGTAAGATAAAATTTTAGTAAGAATATTATGTAATTTAAGTATGAAGTACATTAAACATGCTGTCATTTATATATTTACCAAATTAGCTTGTTTGCCAAATCGCTTTTGTACAGCCTCATATAAATTTTTATAAAAGTCTTTTTGAAATATATCACCAGTATACTCATGGCCAAAAAACCAATGGTCTTTTGTAAACAACATAAATCGGTCATCATTTATCATATCAGGATTTCCATTTCCTTCATGATAGGGGTTTAAAGACATTCCTAACCAATCCCACTAAACATAACAATTTATAATTTAAGTTTTTTTTATGACTGACTTTATTAATGTTACTTACTTTAAGATTTAAGTTTTTATTAATCATAAAATGATTAAGAGCACAGATAAATCCACCAGGAGCTTCACATAGATGAACACTATTAAACTTTCCACTATCAATATTATCTTGGGGTATTACAGGTGATTCATTTAATAGCTCATAAAATTTTAACCAAGCTGTAGTTAACAGTTCTGGATGAATTGCAGATCTTACTTTTGAGAGAACTTTACCAGATGGGTTAGTTTGTTTAGTATTTTTGTGCCAATCATTTAGATTGAAATTATCTAGCTTATCTTTGACATTGTTTAATGACTTTTTTAAACTTAAAAAGTCTGGTATCTATAAATAATCATAATTTTTATAGTAGGTTAATTTTTAGTTACTAGAGGACTTAATATTCTATAACTATTATTGTTATTATATATAAGTTTATATACAAATTTATTTAATTGTATAAATTCAAATATTATATACAAAATATATATTAAATTATATATATATATAAAATTTTTTTGAAATTTAAGCTTTGCAAACAAAGTTTAAATTTTCATAAATGAAACATAACAAAGTTTTATTTTTAATAATGTACAAAATTACGTCTAGTAAAACATATAAAAATTAAAACATTCCATTTCACTCACTTAATTTCATTATTTAGTAAAGCACGGTAATATTTTACCTAATTAATAAATTTATTTTTGAATAAATAATTGATTATATAATTATACATATTCTCATCAACATAAAATAACAAACTGATAAAATTGGGTCACAGCAATAGTTATCATGAAAAGGAAGAAAAAAACTCAAGTATAATTAATCATGATGCTTCATTAAAAGTAAGTGAGTTTTGTTTAGGTATAAATATTTCATATTTATTTTTAAATAAAAAGGTTTTTTTTTAATCAAAGTAACTAACATGCACCCTACTTGCTAGTTATTTACAAATCTACCAATTACATAACAAAACCAAAATTTAATAATCAAATGCTCCGGAACTCTGTTTAAAAAATTGATGAGAATTTTATAATGTTAGAGAACAATAATATAGGAATACAATATACCTCCCATTTGCTGTACGCCAACATAGATTCAGGTTCAGGTAGTTTCCACTTATTTGAAATTGACATTTCAAATTCTTTTTTAAACAATTGAGATGCAGTTTCATCCAATTTTGATTGTTTTGAAGGAGAGTCATTATAATAGTAATTATTTCTTTTGTCAGTTATTCCGTTTTCTTTTAAAATATCATTATTATTGTAATTATTATAAAAAATATTTTCGTTTTTGCCCATTATTCCAACCTTCAAAATAACTAGATACAATGACGAAAGATATTAGAGATTCTTTAATCAAAATAAAACTTCTATGATTACAAATTTTTATTTAGATTAAAATAATTCATTTATTAATTATCGAGAAATTATTAATTATTTATGGACTGCATCATTGACTCAAAACAACAGTTAATTAAAGAAATATTTACAGCGTCATCACATGCACGTCCCACATTCCCTCAAAATCTATTACTTGCATTTATAACTCATATCAACTTTCTATTGTTGTTATCAATGTGATGTCGTGTCGTTAGAAATTACGATTTCACTGTTGTTTTTTGGTTAACATTAATAGTTAATATTCCAAAATATTATTTAGAAATTTAAATTTGAATAATTTGAATAAATCTGAATATATAAGTGAATATGTAAACCGCGAGTGAAACAATCACTAGAATGATTTTTTTTAAACTTGGGATTTCATCTAATATTTCCTGGCGAGTTAAAAATCACACATTTGCCTATGATATGTACCATTTAGTTAAAAAATTATAATTATAAAATTAGAAATAAAATTAAATAATTAAATTTTTAACTTAATAACAAAAATGCATGAATGTTACTTAACATTTTATAAATTTGTCTTTGATACTTAGCACTTGCAAAAAAATTAACTAAATTCAATACTTTTTTTGTTTTATAATTTTTGTATCACTCCTTGACAATTATTAGACTTTATTTATCAATATAAATATTATATTTATATTGGCCATTTATTACACACGAAATCACATGTTTTTTAAAGTAATGAAGATTTAAAAGTACCAAAAGTATAAATTACTTCATTTTCCTAGAGTTAAAATTACAAAAGTAATTTTTTTAATTATAATATTTTTATAATTGTATTAAACGCAACTTGTAAAGATAGCTAAACAAAAATACCCAAATTAATCAGTTAATTTAAAAATATTATCAGGATCTCGCGTTAAAAGTTTAAAATATTTGTACATATATTTAATACCTCCATGCTGTGCAACAATTCTCCGTAGATTTATTGAATAACTATAGTCATTCATAAATAACCTAGAGGTTGTTTACAAAATAAATAGAATTATTATGCAATATAATAATTATGTTACAAGACCATTTTAGTGAACATATTACTATTAAAACGATTCTTAGCTATATAGGTTAATTTTATTCAATTCATTCAATACACCCCTTAGATTTGTTCTAATAGTTAAAAAATTCGGTTGCAATTGAGTGGCTTTAGAGGGTTAAAAATTTGACCGTAAGGGTGATTTTTCGATTATCGTCGTAATAAATGTTATTATTAAAAAATCTAAATCTACAATACTGTAATAATACAAAAATGAGGTTGGTAAATGGTATGTGTATTGTATTGTCGTATGTCGGTAGTGCCTCGACATAGACACAAAAGTTTTACACAAATTAATTAATGTTTTTTAATATATATGACGACGAGTTCGTCGTGTCAAGCTCTTCTCGAGTCCTCCCGTTGGATACACTGGTCAGTCCCAATCCCTCAAATTAGTGAACTACTAAAAGGGTAGAGTTTAGATCCGTCAGCACGGTCTAACTCATAAGTAGTAGACTAAAGGTGGCTCCTTATCAGCCACCAGCACAACTATCTTTTCACTATACCTTCTAAAGGACGGTTGAGTCCAAAAACTAAATAGCACGCACACTAATTATTAAGATTGACTAAAGGACCAGCAATCCAACCTTGACTTTAGCCGCACACACACAATTCTAAGAGTACGGTGAATATAAATTATTTACGCTAAGTCCAGGTTTTTAAATAGTTATTTTATTTAAGAAACGTATAAAACACAAATTCAAAAAGGTAATATCAAAATGTAACACTAAACAAAATTAAATCGTACAAAGATACTCGCGTCCAACCTCCTGACCCGCCACTCGACGTTTCTTCGTCAAAACGTCCAGTCCCCCTATACTTTTCATGTTTCCCTTTTATATTCTTTTTTCCACCATTATTAATTTGCTTACCCTGCATTTTCCTTTTATATAGAATTATTATATTGCTTAAGAGTTCAAAAATTGCTTACTACTCAGGGGCGGACTTAGGTATGTGGTGGCCCCTGGGCGGAATGCATTGTGGGGGCCCTTATACATAAACAAGGAAATATATTTTTTTACTTATTAAATAACAGTTATTATCATATTTTTGATACCAATGTATACCAAATTTGTGGGGGCCCCTGGGCTGCAGCCCACTCAGCCCTCCCCTAAATCCGGCCCTGTTACTACTGTTGTAAGGCTTATATTATACTAAAATCGATGTAATTCAATACTTCCTCAGCTATTTACTACAGTATATATTGACCAAGTTTGGGTGTTTTTGGGGATTTGGTCAGTTGTAGAGTCCGAAGGTTTAGAACAATAAAGACAAGTAGATATAAAAAAAAATAATTAAAGTTCCTCTTATAGAGATATTATAAATGACCCAACTGGTAAGTACCTGTAATAATACACTGAAGCGACGAAAAACCGGTGGCCATCTCACGAATACCATCTAATGTGATTATGTATAAGGTACGAACTAATTAGTAATAATTAATTATAGTTTAAAAATTAATATACCAGTAGTTATTAGTGGTAGTTATTTGATTTATTGCTTTATCGTTCTTTACTCAGATTATTAATTCTAAATAATTGGGTGTTAATATAATATAAGTATTGACTCTTATTGGTTTTAAATCTTCATGATAATTTTTCTTTGTTCTTATAATAACTTTTAATAGTTTCAAGTAATACTCAAATTTTTAGTTCATAAATTAACACGTAAGAATTTCAACAATGATGATCACGAACCTTACGTATCGATGTCGAGAGCACGATTAGAACAGGGAAAACAGAGCCCTCGAATATCTGGAGACTGGGTCTCTCAAGCCCTCAGCACTGGTTTAGATGGATTGCTCTACCTTTTATAGTATTTTGTATTCCCGAAAAATCAGCATTGTGTCATTCTTGTAATGTTATTGTTTATTGATAAATAAGCATAAAATATATAAATTAATACATGTAAATGATGATCATTTTGATACTTTATATAACGTTATCATAGTTTGTTTGTACATTTAAAATTAGGGTTGATACATTGTGTTTTATTATTAAGATAAGAGTAAAAAGAGCTGACTAGTATAGTTAATAAATTTCTTAAAGAGTGATTTTTAAAGATGACTAATAATTGACTCATGACTGAATCGTGTGTAACATAATATAATTAAACATGCGTTTGTTAAATATTTCTCTCAGTTATTTATTTAAATTATTTGTTTAATAACAATCATGTTATTCCAAATATATGAATATAATTTATAAATAAGTGTTAAATATCTTAAATGAAAAATCATTATTGTGGACACGAGTAGCTCATTGTTATTTCATATTGTGAGTGACGAGTATATTACGAAAATAATTAGACATAAAAATTATAAAAACAACATAATTTTATCTTAACCATTAAAATAGATTTTATTTAAATATTAGAAATAATAGTAAAGTTATAAAATAATTACAGATTTATAATAAAATAAATTTTCTCGAAGATATAGTGTTATTAAAAAATCCAGCACACTGGGGACGTAGCATAGTTGGATCAGTATAGATTTAATCTGACAGTAGATTTTAATCATTATCATAAAAAACGCTTCAATGCAAATCTGTAGATAGTGTTTAATTTAAAAAAAATTGTTGAATTATTCCAAAAGCAACATGATCTCCTATTTATTTATATCCCGATTACAAGTTATATGATTTATAAGTGTAATATATATATAAAAATTTATTATAGCAATTAAATATATAATATTAAATTGTTACTTAATAATTTAGTATTGTAATTTTTACGGAGAAATTATAAAGTAGTTATTACTTTTATGGCAAACGTATATAGAAGTTAATGGTCTTGATGCAATACTTAAAAAATTAAATTATTTGTTATTTATAAATAAATGAACTGGTCTACAAGGAATTTTCATCAGAGATCAAAATATACTTTTCTAAACTTCCTAACACACTTTTTTAAAAAACGAAATATGTCTAAAATATTAAACTAGTAAAAAAATGTTTAAGCTACTATTGATGTGTTGCGTTAAAACTGAAATGGATATAGGAATGTATTTAATGAGATATACTAAGTTAACACATGATAATAAAAAATGACAATTTTTTTAACTTAAGGGGACATGTTTGAAAACTCTAGATTTGCGTCAATTCTACAATGGTCACAGTTTTCTGCAATGTATTAATGCACAATTTACTACAATACGTTTGCACCTGGAATCTTGAGAATGTCCTTCTGTAGATTATTACAAGATAAATTAATAGTAATAAAAAAAAAAAAGTTTCGATTGTTCCTTTTAGAATATGATTTTTAATTCAAGTTTTTGTAAGCTTTTAAATTATCTTTGATATTTTAAATATATATTCATAATGTAATAATGATATAAGCCTAAAAAAAAATTAAAATTTTGGCTACTTTTAATTGTAACTCTAAAGGGTTTGTAGATTCAAAAACATAAAAATTAAATAATTGGTTAACTTATTGCAAGTAGAAGGTGTATCTTCTGGTGTAGAACTATACAAGCCACCTACATTATAATAATAAACTTACTCATTGATAAGTATAATTTATAGTTAATTTTTAAAATATTAATTGTAATATATCACTAAAGAAGAAACCAAGAAATGTAATTTATTAAAAAAAATAATTTCAAAAAAAAAAAAAAAAAAATCACTTAAAATTATAACCTTATTATTGTGTTATAATAGAATAACAACTTTATTATAAATTGAAATATTAGTTTAAAAAATGTAAGTTGAAATAATAATCATTCAAATAAATTTATTTTACATTATGTCAAAATCATCTTTGAGATCATTATACTCTAATATGTGTTTCTTGATAGCAGAATTGTCTACCCATGTTACAAAGTCTTCAAGAGGCCTGTAAAAAAAGAAGTATTAATAACAACTAAAACATCATTAAAACAAATAAAAATGATGTATTTTTACATAAAATTTTACTTAAAAATAAAATAGAAAGATTACACATTATTAAAAATTATGATGTAATAAAAACTAGTTGAAGGTAAAAAATATACCAGAACACATTAGCACAATGATAAATAGATAATTCCTGTTTATTCATCTTAACATTTATCTGATCATAAAGGATTACTCACTATTTTCTAGAACAAAAAGAGTTTCTGTGGTATTTTTGTACCTATGATGAATTTACTTAAGATTGGGTGTTTTGGGAGTAAGCCAAACAAGTTTTCAAAATCGTTAAAGTCCTTGAGTGTTGATTATAAGTATTGTAAAAATTAAATTAAATTTTTATTTTATAATATACTTCACTATGGTGGTAATATTGAATAATGTTGTAGTTATTAAATACATGTAATTAGAGTTATTGCCATAAATAAATAATTATTATTAAAATAAAAAGTACGCATAGTGGTCATAATATGTTTATGTATCGCGGCAAAGTACACATACACCAGTAAGAGCTGAATCCATCATTTATAAGAATTTTAAAAATTAAATTTCTATTTTATTTAAGACTAATAATAAAAAAAAGCTTTTAATATAGTTCAAAACTATAAAAATTATTTAAAAAAATAAAAGTAACGGAAAATATTAACCTAATCAACAGTTATAAATTTGTTAAAACATCATGGATTATTTTAACATCCATGATGTAATATTATATTAATATTTATATGTTTAGATAACAAAAATTAGTATATTTCCTTATTTAGGAAAAATAAAGACTTTTGAAGAAGACAATCAGATTAATTCTTGTTAAAAAAAAAATATAAAATAATAATTTTAAAAATGATTTAATTAAATATTCAGATTAGCTCTAAACTATTTTTTAATTTTTGCATTATTTAAATCTGAAAAAAATTTGAGCTCTAAAATATTTTACGAATGATAAATTTATTAAAGTATATAAAGTATAAGTATATATATATATATATATATATATAAACTTAAAATTAAGAAATTAAAAAATTTTTAATAGAATGGTATTTAACATAAAAATAAATGTATTAAATATACAATTCAAATATTCTCAAAACTAAAATACTAGGATACTTTTAAATACTAGGAACAATTTAACTTTTAATTCTAAATTTTTTGTAAGTTAATCTAATCTAATTAAAATATAGTACTCAGTATCAATTATAATTAAGCAGAATCCTAAACTGATAATTTTTAAAATTTATCTCAACTAATAAGTACTCTATACCTTGATACTAAAAATGCTGGATCTTTAACCAATTGTGGACCAACACGAACATGCCCCTGTTCAATATATGTTGTTGCAGCCTTCAATGTTTGTACCATTTTTGACCTAACCATTATAACAGGTAATCGACGTCTGCAAAAACATGATGCAGTAACTTTGGAACATAGTTCAAAATTTTTTTTAGTTGTAATCAATCCCAACATGTACCTATATCCATGAATTTGAATCATTACAACTTATATTATGCAAATCTTTTAACATATCCTAAATAACTAAATTACAAAACTTACAATTTTTCTAAAAGTTGAGCACCTCGTTCATTTCTAAAAGAATCTGTAGGTTCTAAAGCTTTTATTTTTTCTGCTACGTTTCTTATTTCACGAGATAATTTATTGTACCTAAAAATTAAAATAATGATGATACATTTAACCAATATTTATTATTTATTTAAACCAGTAAATTTGTGGTTCATTTAATCAAGGTTGTTTTTGTGTAATTATTTAAATTTTTCCATAAAATTAGTTAAATATACTTATACACAATATTGCTTCCTAAAATTACAATAATTAAAAATTTACTAAATAAAATTAAAATTTTATTAATGAAATTTCTTTGTAAAGTAAAATATATAACATTATAAGTGAATATCTAAAACTACCAAGGTATTATTGTCTGGAATATCTATGAAAAATTATACTTACAGTGTATAATGTTCTCTTTTTTGAATCATATATTTTTTCATAATTTTTACTTCATGTAAATTATTACTATCAACTTCCCATGATATAAAATCTACTTTTTTTAGTAACTTATGTTCGTGAAATTTTAGTTTTCTGACCATATTGATATTTTTTATTAATATTATAAAAAATATACAATAAGAAGCCAAAATTTAATTAATTATTTATTGAAAATGAAAAATGTGTAGTTACATGCAATCAGCATGATTAAATGATAACATATGATAAATATTAGTTATAAGCACAACAAGTTTTTATGCACAGAATATCCAACTAATATAAAAAAATTGAATTTTCAACAAGTTTTGTATAAATATTGTTCAATATTTTTAATTTAACACATTTTATTAATGTTTATCTTTTAGATAAGATTTTATTTCTTTTATATTTTACATTATACATTAAATTTATAATTAATACATTTTACATGCACTGTCAAAGTTTTTTTTCCATTATTGATAGTGTACGTCACACAACCCGACAAATTTTCGGTCATTTTATAATCTTACTCAGATACACGGATATGTAGATAATATTAAAATCGTTTCTACTTGTTAGTAACATGGTAATACTACTTTTAACTCTTTTTAATTATTATTAAACCCAAATAAATGTGTATTTGTAGTTGTTCATAACTGTTTTTATGTTATAAGTGATATTTTATTTGTGCATAAAGAATTTTCATTTAACTTCATCTCATTAAAAATTGTTACATAATAATAATACGATGGCTGAACCAGATGAAAATCCTTTTGGAGATCCTCATCCATTTCAGGTAATTTCCAATTTAAATTACGGTTATTAGTAAATACCAACATAAATTAAATTTTTAAAGTCCATTTGACTTACCTCGATGGTAATTATATTATTTTTGAATAATAATAAAAATAAATACCAAGTATTCATAGAATGTTAACAAATTTATATGATAACTTTAATATTTTAATTCAATACGTGGAATAATAAATTACTATACTAATATTTGACTGTTTAATTTACTTCTATTATTTATGACATTCACCTTTTAATTTATAAAGATTTTTGTACATTTTAATCTGTACCAAAATGAATCATATGTTTTATCATTAAAAAAATGTTTCTGTTTAATTTTTATTAATTAAGCTGATGACCTTAAGTTTAACCATGTTAATCATCAATATTTTGATGAAAACATATGTGTTTAATTATTCTAGGATCCTTCAGTCAAAGAGCTAACTACTAATAAAGTACAATCTTTAATAGAAGATTTCAATCCATTTGGAAATGACCAAAATGTGGTTAACAACTCGGTAATTTTAGAAAAATTAAGTTCTTTTTATTTTCAGGAATCAACATACAATTATTGTGTTGGATTTTTAGTTGTAGCATGTTAATTCAAGTTGTTGTTTTTTATTATTATATATAAAAATTGTTTTTTAATTTTTAAATTTGACTTTATTAATTCTTAATGATTAATCATTTAATAAGATGAATAATGTTTTAGAAACCAGCTGTTAGAGGAGCTGCTAACCCACCTTTAAATTCAATGCCAGCTGTAATGTCACCAACACAAGAATATCCAGTAACATCTCAAATTGCACCTAATTATAGTAGAAGTACTGGTGATGTTTCTGCTGATCTATTGGTATTATTTATGAATCATTAATAAAATGCATATACTCATAAAATTATTAAATTATAGGCTAGAAAAGCTGAACTTGATAGAAGACAAGCTGAATTGGACAAGAGAGAAGAAGAACTTCGCAATGCTTCAATAAATGGTAATGTTCTTTGTTTAATCAAACATTTTTCCTTTATTGCGTAATTATTAATTTAATTAATTATAGTTCGTCAGAATAATTGGCCTCCCTTACCAAAACAGTGTTGCTATCAACCATGCTTTTATTTGGACATAAATGTTGAAATTCCACCAGATTTCCAACATGTTGTTAGGCAACTTTATTATATGTGGCTTTGTAAGTTAAAAAAATACTTCTCACAATGAAAACATAATATTTTAAGACTAAATTATTTTTACATTTATTCATGTCTAATTTTATAGTATATTAAAGTATATTTTTCTTAAAAGTTAAGTTATGTATAGAAAAGAAAAAATTCAAATGAAGTACTATAATGTCATTATTAAAAAAAAAAAATTACATAGGACATTATAATAATTAAATCAAAGTTATAAAGAAAAAATAATAGTTTTTGAATGAATTATTTCCATTTTTTGTATTATTGTTGTAGTCTTATCTATGATGTAAAAATAATTAAGAATAATTTATTTTAAATTATAAATCTCATACACTCCTAATTATTTTAAAAAATATTTATATTTTACAAAATTATTAAGAAAATTTATGTGAACTATAAGGGTTAAATTTTAAATTTATATATTAATCAAATTGTATGCCTTTATTGTATATTGTATGCTTAATGTATACACATTTGTTACACAACCCTAATTAAACTTTTATTTAAATTATTAAATTATGTAACTGTTTGAAAATATGTATTTTTTAATTAAGCTAAAAGTTTTGTCTTTTAATTTAGATCATACAGGTTTGCTAGCAGCTAATGTAGTCATGGCCACTATTTTACTATTCTTTAGAGGTGCACTTGGAACTTTTGTTTCATCTATTATTTATACTGCTGCTTTAGTGCCACTCTCATTTTTATGTTGGTTCCGTCCTGGTTATAAAGCTTTTCGGTATGTTTTCATTCTTAATATTTTGCTTAAATATTAAAAAAACTGTATTTAAAAATAAATAACATCTAATTTTTAATTTACTAGGGATGATAGTTCATTCAATTTTATGTTGTATTTTTTTGTATTCTGCATCCAGTTTGTCATAACTATTGTCCAAGCATTAGGTTCAGAAAACTCAGGATATTGGTAATATATATCTTTATACTATTGTTATTTATAATTATTGAGTTTCTAATTCTAATTCTAATTACTATTTATTATTGATTGAATTCTTAAGGATGTATCCATGTTTACAGTTTAGTCTAAAATGTCTGAACTCAACTGTAAACATGGATACATCCTTAAGTATTTCAAGCAATAAGACAATCAATGAAAGTTTAACACATTCATAATATTTATTATTTTATAGTGGTTTGTTCACTGCCATTTCTATATACAAAGGTCCGCCTCCTAGTCCATTTTTAGGTACATTAGTATTAATGTTGGGTATTGCTTTCACAATTGGGGCAGTAATGGATTTCTTTTTACTGACCAAAGTAATTTCCTTTACTCATTATAAAAGTTATTAATTTACAGATTTTTAGTATTTATTATTTTAATGTTTTATAGATTCATAAAATTTATCGTAGTTCTGGTGCCAGTTTTGCTAAAGCTCAAGAGGAATTCCGTTCAGGTGTTATTTCTAGTGGTGCGGTTGGTAATGTAATATCGTCTAATATCAGATTTTAATGAAATATTGTCTAACAAAATATATAGACTTCTAATTTATCCATTTTATCACAAGATAATTCATAAAATTGTTATATTGTTTTCTTCTGTAAATATTGTCTGCTGCTACAATATTCTAATACTTCAATAATATGCGTGTATACTGTATAGTAAGATAATTATTCAAGTTTATTTGGTAAAAAATATTATTTTATTTATGTCTTACACTTTATTAAAAATATGTAATTAGATAGATTTTTAATATCCTATTTATCATGTTTTCTATACTTATAGTTATTGAACTACGTGTATAAGTTTATTATAATTTATTAATTGGTCTTTTATTTTATATACAATTTTTAATTCATTATATATTTTGTTTGTTTTTATATTTGTTATATTAATATTAAATTAATCATTCCAAATTAATTAAAACATTTTATGTTTGTTTAAGTAATTTCTGTGTCCTTACTTATATTTCAATACAGTGAATTGGTTAGTATATTTATATAAATAAAAAAACTACTAATGAAGTCATATTTTAAATGTATTTACAGTATTTTTGAAGAAAAACTAAAATAAGAATCTTGTCTTATTAATTTTACTTAAACTAATAATATAGTTATAATGTAATATACACTTAATATACTTCGAAATAAATTGATTTTTATTATAAAGTATATTATGCCGTGTCTTGATCATGGCCCTAGTAATAATATAAAATATTAATTTTTATATTAAACTAAATAAAAATAATCTATAACAGTCAGTAAGGAAGAGCTACTAATTATGATAAAATATTTAATTACATTATTGTTTTCTATAATAATTATCATATGTGTAGCCTTAAGTAAACGTTATATTTAATGCACTGATATGAAGATTCAATAAAACGATAAAAATTCATGATAACTAATGCTACAATACTCCTTTTATGTTGCATAGAATCAGTACAATAAATATGTAGACCATATGTTAACGTATAAAATAATTTTAACAGTGAATTAATGATTTTTATTTTGTAAAAAGAATAACATTAAAAACTTAACTAGACTTAATAATGTCACAGAATTTTTCAAAAGTCGAAATGGCGGTATTTGGCACTACTAAGCTTTTGTTAACGGCATCGATTTCTTAAGCGTCACTCGGAATTGCCCGCCTTTCAACTCGTGATTTGATTGGCTGATGACGAAACGCGTTCATTAAACATGGCGGCCATAAACCGTTTGCGCGCGTTACCGTCACCCGTTTGTAAGAATGATGACTGTATTGTATTAATCTGTTCTACCACTATAGTGCGTTCGACAACGCTTACTTATTCTTCGATTTCTCAACGGTTTTTCAGTACTGTTCTCTCTTGTTTACAATTTAGGTGCTTTTATTAGCCTTGTAATTTATTTTCCACGTTATTTCATTTAAAAACGATTTTTATTAACAATGGTAAGTGAAATTTTTAATTATTATTGTAGTTGAAAGTATACAAACTATTGAATAATAATACCTAATAATAAAACTTAGTAATTATTTGATTATATTTTTATTAGGCTGGCGGTAAAGCGGGAAAAGATTCCGGTAAATCCAAGGCTAAAGCAGTATCCAGATCCGCTCGAGCAGGTTTACAGGTAAATTTAATTTTAGTATTTTAAAGCTTCTTAGTTATATTTTGGCGCAATTTCTATAATATGTTTTTTTTAGACAAATATCTTAGGCTAGTATCAAGACAATTTTTTGAAAGATTGAATTTAATTCAATCATATTGTGACTATAAAACATCGTTTATTTAGTTCTGTACAACCTAATAATTACGATTAAGAACGTAGTTTTATAAAAATTTTTACCGAATATATCATAATTTTTTAATTAGTTTGTGATTCTTTTATTTTTTATCAGAAGGAACCTATTTCTAATAGCTGTTAGTGTTTTTTTTTTTTTTTT